CACTCCAGTTCTAAGTTTTTGTTCCCATTCCTCAGGTCATAAAACCAAGGCCCAGAAAGAAGAAAGCCAAGAAGTGTCTGAGCCAGAACTCAAAACCAGGACTGTCTGGCCCCAAAGCCACACAGCCCTGGGCCCACTGCTTGCTGGGGATACAACAGGGGACAATACTGACCAAGAACCTGTCCCCTGAGAGCTGGCAGCTTCCTCATTCTAATGAGAGAGAGAGATGAGAAACCAGATGAATTGCTGAGCTATGTGCCCTGTCCCGGGTGTCAAGGTTATAAGAAGAGAAAAAGGAGGGACAGGGAGAAGGGAATAGTGTAGTCAGGAAAGACCTCGCTGGGAGGATACATCTGGGCAAAGGTCTGAAGCAGGTCAGAGAGAGAGCGAACCTTGCAGCTCTCATCCATTTAGGGGAACAGTGTTCAAACTGGAGGGAACAGCAAGTGCAAAGATCTGGAGATAGGGAGCCACAAGGAGCTGGGTATTGCTGGTGCGAGAAGGGAAAGAAGCAAGGTCAGGCCACAGAGGGCTTGTAGACCCACTGAGGAGGCTGGGCTTTATTCTGGGAGTCTCAGAAGATTTTGTAGCAAGGCAGATTGGAGATTAAATCTGGCTTGTGAAAAGCTCCCTCTGGCCTCTCTGGGTCAGGCAGGAAGACTAGGAGAGCATGTCAATGGTGGCTGAGGCAAGGAGGGGTTGTCATGGAGATGAAGATGGAGAAAAGCTGTCTGGGGCTGCATGACTGGTCCAGCGGCCCGGGAGAGGCCCTGCCCACCTCCCCTCTATCTATGCATCCTTGAACTTAATTCCCCTTGGAGGAAGCCAGCTCCCTATCTCCACAGAGAAAGTGCCAAGAGAGGAAGGAGAATTTTGCTGACTAACATGCAGGGGCCTCCCAACTTCCCGCGGGGAAGGATGGATGGGGGAATCTAAGTGCAGATGGTGGGGTGGGGAGCCTTGTGGGGGCCAAAAGCAAATAAATAGTTACAACTGTGCTAAGTGATGGAAAATAGTTAACAGGGTGACCTGGGTTGTGAGTGGGGGTCATCAAGGAGGACTTCCTGGAGGAGGCAGTTGTCTGGGCAAGAATCAGAAGGAGAAGTAGTAGTCTAACTAGGCCAAGGATAGAAGGAAGAGCATCTCAGACAGATGAAACTGCTAAGAGACTGGAGGCAGCCGAGTGAGCTCATGTTCCTGAAACGAGGCCTGGCGGGGCAGAAAGAGCCCTGTGTGCTGAGCCCAGGACAGACATCAGCATAAGCCAGGGAACATACGCAACCTGGTGCCACACGTGGTCAGCTCCCAGCAAAGGACTGCTCCTGCTGCCGTGGAAACTGTGCGGGTAAAGATCCGCCCGCCATAAACTTCTCTGAGCATCACCACAAGCCAATGAAATAAAAAGAAGACGGGAAGACCAATAAAAGAAGCCCCTGAAATTGTTCTTCTCTTCGGAGAGACAAGGAGAACAGGGCCCAGGGAACAGACAGGTTGTCGACTTCGACGAGTCACTTCATGAGAAGGTTGCTGCGAACTTCCCTGCCCAGCACTACCGTTCCTGGCTCCCTCTGTGCACCTCGCAGGACTGTGGGACAGACCAACTTTGTCACACTTGGACGGGGCCCCTCGGTGGGGCAGATGGCAGCTAGAAGGGCAGGAAAGCAACCTGCAACAGGAGCTGGCTTACTGCCCGAGGAGGGGGAGCTTCAGAGAAGAGAGACAGAGATACCGAGAGAGAGAGAGGACAGAGACAGAGCAAGTGGAGACAAGACCGGAGGGAGGAGGGGGCAGAGGGGAGCAGAGGAAAGAAAAGGCAGAGCAGAGAGTCAGAGAAAGGGAGAGACCCAGAGAAGGGGAGCGGCGGCGGGAGGGAGGGGAACGAGACAGAGGCAGACAGACAGACGCTGAGACGGAGCGACAAAGAGGAAGACCCAGAGACGGACGGAGACGGAGGGGGGCCCACCGAGCCGGGCTTGGGGACGGGGGCAGGTGGACCCCAGAGCCCCGGAGTCCCCGTGCCTCCGAGTCTCCACCTCTCCACTGCTGGAGAGATTTTAAGAACCTTGAAAAGACTGCACGGTCTGATTTTACAGCGCTAACACTCACTCATTTGCCAAGCGCCCACCGGGTGCCTACTGTATGCTGCGGGTCAAAAACCATTCCAGGTACTGGGGTACAGCCCCCAGGCCCAGCTCCCCTCCTGGAGCAGACACGCTGAGGGGACACAGGCATCTTCATGTGAGCAGATCCATGGCTGTGTTTCTCCAGAGATAAAGGGTTTGGAGGGTGGAGACAGGGCGTCGTGGGCAGGGCAGGCTGCTGGGGGCCCGCTGACCCCCAGAGAGACGGGAAGAATCAGCCGTGTGTTTGGGGAGGGTGCAGAAGTCAGAGAGCTGGAGCACCAGTTCTTCCCGGAGCCCCAAGGAGGCGAGCTGGGGACGGGGGTGGGGAAGGCCTGCTCAGAGTGGTGACCGACCCCATCACACCAGGCCTCACGGGACCTGGTGGAGCCTCCTAGCGAGGTGGGGTCCTGGGAGAGCGCTGAGCAAGACAGGGACATGGGCTGCCTCAGTTCCCAGGGGAATCCCTGGCTGTGGGCAGAGACCCAACTGAGGGGCCCAGGGTGGAAGCAGGGTACCCAGGGAAGGGGCGGCCACCAGGATCAGGGCAGAGAGGAGGGGGTGTGAGCAGGCGGAGTCCGCAGAGGTGGGGAGACCGGAAGGGGCCCGCAAGTCCCGCCCTGGCGACGGGGGAGGGACTGCAGGGGGGACCAGGAGCCTGTTTTGGAGCTCAGCCTCAAGCGCCCTGCGAACCCCCCTTTCCCGATACAATGAACTGCTCCTCCCCACGGCCCCCACCCGTATCACACACACCAGAGGACTCACATATTCTCGGTGTCCCTGAAACGAGCCCTTCGGAATCTGGGTGCTTCCTTCTGCTGAAGAGTCTGCAGGTGGAAAGAAGCAGGGTGGGTGGCGGGCAGGGAAGGGAAGGAAGCGGCACCTGCCCTCATCACAGACCCATGGACGCCCACCCCACACATTCACCTTCCAGAATCCCTAAGAATGATGGGGAAGGGACTTGCCTGGTGGGCCAGTGGCTAAGACTCCGCACTGCCACCCCAGGAGGTGTGGATTTGATCCCTGGGGAGCTAAGATCCCGCACACCACTCCACGCGACCAAAGAGGGAAAAACAACAACTAAAAAGAATGATGGGATGGAAGAAAGGCCTCCGCCGGAGGTGTGAGCTGAGCCCCTGGGGGCAATCATGTTGAGATCTCTAAGTATACCCACTCAACACGTGAAAGTCGCTCAGTCATGTCCGACTCTTGGCGACCCCACGTGCTGTGGCCCTCCAGGCTCCTCTGGTGAATCAACACGTGAATCAACGCATGGTTCACCTTAAATGTACCCAGTGTTATGGGTCAATGATACCGCAATGAAGCTGGAAAGAGAAAAGAAGAAGAAAGGCATGCCAGAGCAGGACAAGGGCTCCAGGGTCCGTTGCCTCTTTAGGAAACTTGAGGAGTAAGTGATTCATTCCTACCAGAAATGAGAAGAAGACATGATAATAACAGCAGTCACTGTTCTTGCATACCAACATGCCAAGGGCTTCCCAGATATTATTTCTATTTTTATAAATTATTGTGTATTTGGATTATAAAATTAAGAGACTCACTATTAAAAAAAAAAAAGACAATGAGAGAGGAGGAAGGGAAGGAAAGGAGGAAGAGAGGGAGGGGAGGAATTCGCACATCACGGAAATATGTAGCTCACTCTCCTCTGATCACACTGACTTTCTCACTGCCTTGCAAACACCCCAGGCCTGTGCCTGCCCCGGGGCCTTTGCACTTGCTGTTCTCTCTGTCTGGAATGCTCTTGGGTCAGAGAGCCAGGCACAGGGTCCCTCCCTGCCTGCTCACAGCAGCACCTCCATCACGCCTGCCGTTCTTCACGGAACTTAGTGCAGTCTGACCCTGGATTGCTTTATGGTCCCTGAGCAACCGCTAGAATGCCAGCAACTTGGCGGCAGGGACTTCTTTCTGTTTTGTTCCCTGCTGTATCCTCTGTCTTCTGAATAACTCCTGGCCCACAGTAGGTGTTCAGTAAACAACATTTGCTGTCCAGGTGAATGAATAAGCTAATGAATGAGCACATGAATGAAACAGCTCTCTCTTCGGCTAGGCCAGGAAGAGGCGCTCTCTGTGGGCAGCAACTAGAACTCATGTGTCCAGCACACAGTAGGCATTTGTGGATTGAACAGGTGGTGAATGGGGTCGTTGGGAAATGGGAAGAAGGAAGAAAAGGAAATGTTTATCCAGGCTCCCTGAGAGCCTACCCCGTCCTAAGCCCACCCCATATGTTAGTTCACTTCAGCATCACAACCACCCTATGAGGTTTATTTTAAGCCCATTCTCCAGATAAGGAAAAACTGAGGCTGAGTGAGAAGAAACTTTTTTTTCCCCAGTTTCCATCCAGGAAGGACGGACTTAAAGTCAATCCCATCTGCCTCTAAAGCCAGGGTTCCAAGCTGATTGCATTTGGCCCGTTCATGCGTTCAGCGGTGGCCGAGCACCTGCTCTGTGCCAGGCACAGGGCTGAACCAGCCGGGGGATGTGAGCTCATGGTGGCCAGGCTTTCACCCTTTGTAAGAGAGCCTGGGTGCCCATGTTTTCCCATGAACCTTTTGCCCTTCAATGCTAGCTACCAAATCAAAATATTAGAAAGCACTGTGCAGGTAAAAGAAAGCCTGTCTGAGGGCCCTAGCTGGAGACCCCTGAGTCTGGGCTTGGAATCTCCGAGAACAGGGACATCATTGACGGTGAAGTAGGCAGAGAAGGCTTCCTTGGGAAGGTAGCATCAGCCTGGCCCTGGGCTAGAGGAGGGTGGGGCCCCTGAGAGAAGGGAGTGGAGGGAATGGAGAGGCAGGAGGGACTTGGGCTGCCCTCAGGCCACGCTGGGGGTCAGGGCAGTCTCCTGTCCAAGACTCCCCACTGAAGATGCCCAGCAGGTCGGACCAGACTGACACCAGAAACACCTGGGGGTCAGAACACCACGGCCGCCCGCCACCTCCCCGCACCCACGCCCCTTCTCCACCTTCCTTGGGCCCTCTGGGATCTGAGCCGCCTAGCACATGCTTCCCTGAAGACTCCGTGTCCTCGCAAGTGTCCCATGAGGCCAGCTGGAGGGAGACCCTGACGACGGCCCAGCACGGCGACTGGGTGTATGTGACTGAGCTCTTTCATCTGTCCGTCGTCAGACAGCAGAGCTTCACGCAGAAAAGGTCTGAGATCCAAAATACTGTGTTGGCTTCAAAGGAAGTCATGACACTGATGTGAAATGTCTTTGAAATATAATACTATATCAACCAGTCAGAAGGGTAAGACAACGTCTCTTCCTTTCTTTTTGGCGGCATATAAACTCTCTTTAACAGAAAATGTACATGCATTTTAAGTTTGACACGATTGAACCAGGGTTTGACACCAACTTCGTCACTTACTACATGGGCAACTTTGAGCGAGATCCTGACTTGTCTGTGCCTCTAATACCTCGTTGGTAAAGTGAGGTTGAGGGGAATAACTAGGGCCTGGGGCTGACAAGTAGCTTAAAGGAGATAATGCTCGTTAAACACTTAGAAAGTAGGTAGCACATGGTAAGCGCAAAGTTAAGTGGTGCTGATAATTATCGTTATCAATATAGTGACTCATCGCTATTTCAAATCACATTGTAAAACACACTGGATTCTGCAGATATCAGCATGAACTCAGTACGTAGTGAAATATAGACATAGCTGGTTACATATAGAAATATTTGTAGATCGAGTCATATACATGAGTTAGTAAATAGACACGTATTCACACATATATTGGGTTGGTCAAAAAGTTCATTTGTATTTTTCTGTAAGCTGGTATGAAAAACTCAAACGAACTTTTTGGCCAACTCAATATTTCCTTTTTTTTTCCTGTCACTTTTCAGAAGGCCTAAAAGAAATGCCACCCACTCGCAGTGGACACGCATGGCACTCAGATGGGACTTCCCTGGTGGAATCTTAGTTTCTAACACCACACTCCAGAGAGGAACAAGGGCTTCATGGAAAAATGACTGAGTCTAAGTTTGGGGCAAGAAATATACAAGATGAGCCTAGAACATTTGTGGCACCGGAAGTCAGCAAATGTTCAAAGAAAGAAAGAAACAAAAACCTCCACTGATGGTGGTACATCAATGGGCAAGGGAGCCAACTCAAAGAACTCCCACTGGCCAAAGTTGCAACCATTTGAATAATAAAATTAATTAGTATCGAATTATAACTCAAAGTATAAATGAAATAAACAACCAGGAGTCCACGCTGATATGGCTGAATAAACCGACATGTAAAAGAGAACAGACAGATGTGGGCAGAAGAACTCTGAATCATTTGTACAGCAGAGAGTGACTGCCTGCTCCTTGGGTGGAGGCTAACAGAGTGACTTCCTTCTTCCCTTTCTTCCCTGGTGTCTCAGAGGTTAAAGAATCCACCTGCCAATGCAGGAGACGCTGAAACCTGGGTTCAGTCCCTGGGTCGGGGAGATCCCCTGGAGGAGGAAATGGCAACCCACTCCAGCATTCTTGCCTGGCAGAATCCCATGGAGAGAGGAGCCTGGCGGGCTGCAACCCACAGGATCGCAAAGAGTCGGACACGGCTGAGCCCAAGCGGGACGACTTCCTCCCCAAGAACACAAGGCGGAGGAGGACGGGGGCGGGGGACGCGCGATGTCACCGTGGCGAGGCCTGACGAGCTCTGCCTGGCCAGGTGGCCAAGGCCAACATCAACAGCGATAAATCCTGTTGACAGTATGCGCTCCTGATGCGACGTGATAAAGATGGCCCTTCACTGCCCAGCGCTTCCTCCTCCAAACACATAACCCCCACCTAGCCGCGGCAAAAACAGCCGGCCAGTTCTTCCAATAGGGACGCAGCCTACAGAGAACTCACAGGTATTCCCCAAAACTGTCACTTCACCGAAAAGAAGGCCAAGTCTGCGAAAAGCCAAGAGGAGCCCAAAGGACATGATGACAAAATGTGATGTGGAATCCCAAATGGGATTCTCAAAGAAAAAAAAGACACTGCGTAAAAAATGGTACAAGCCTGAATAAATTCCAGACTTTAGTTAATAATGATGCATCAACACTGGTGCATTCACTGTAACAGATGTACCAGACGAACGTTAAAGTGTTCATCGATGGAGAAGCTAGGGGTAGGGTGTTAACCTTTTCCATTTTTCTGTAAATCTAAAACTGTTGTAAAAAATAAAGTCATCCTTAAAAACTAGTATCTTTTTCCAATATGCTCTCTTATGGATTCTTTTTTAAAATATTTGTTTATTTATTTGCTGGGCCAGATCTTAGTTGGGGCAGGCAGGATCTTTAGCTGCAGCATGTGAAATCGTAGTTCCCTGACCAGGGATCGACCCCAGGCCCCTGCATTGACCCCATAGAGTCTTAACCACTGGACCACCAGGGAAGTCCCTTATACACTTTTCTAGGTCATGGAATGACTTTTTCCAAACCCACCTGATGCGTCTTCTATACCAGAAGTCTTATTAATCTATTTTACTATCTAACCTGTGAGCTTCAGACCTCATGGTTCCAGCACACGGCCTGTTCATCCTCACGTGACACCTTTTCTGTCTGGAAATTGCTCCTGAAACCAAAGGACCTGTCCTCCTGACCCTGGAGAAGTTCTTTGGTTAAGTCATCCTGTTGATGTCTGTTGTTTAACCTGAATATCCCACAAATGCCGCTGTGGGTTGAACCCTCAGGAGTCATCATTAACTCCAAGTTAAACTGCTTTCTCTCCTGCCTCTTTCCAGTTATATGACCTTGAGAGGCCCTCTCAGGGCCCTGTGTCCAGCTGAGAAGTGGTCTGAAGGCTCTACCCGGGACATGCCCCACGACAGAGAATAATCTGCTTCAAACGCCAGCAGTGCTGCAGATGAGAAGCTCTGTGATCGAGGAAGGGTGGGCCCCGACCCCTCTGGACCCCTGCTCCAAGCATTTCCCGGCCCCCTGCTCCCAGCCTCCCCCTCCTCTGCTCCCAGCGTCCCCCTCCCCTGCTCCCTGCATCACCCTTCCCCTGCTCCCAGCATCTGCCTCCCCTGCTCCCAGCATCTGCCTCCCCTGCTCCCAGCGTCCCCCTCCCCTGCTCCCTGCATCACCCTTCCCCTGCTCCCAGCATCCCCCTCCTCTGCTCCCAGCATCTGCCTCCCCTGCTCCCAGCATCTCCCTCCCCTGCTCCCAGCATCCACCTCCCCTGCTCCCAGCGTCCCCCTCCTCTGCTCCCAGCATCCCCCTCCCCTGCTCCCTGCATCACCCTTCCCCTGCTCCCAGCATCCCCCTCCCCTGCTCCCAGCGTCCCCCTCCTCTGCTCCCAGCATCCCCCTCCCCTGCTCCCTGCATCACCTTTCCCCTGCTCCCAGCATCCCCCTCCTCTGCTCCCAGCATCTGCCTCCCCTGCTCCCAGCATCTCCCTCCCCTGCTCCCAGCATCCACCTCCCCTGCTCCCAGCGTCCCCCTCCCCTGCTCCCAGCGTCCCCCTCCTCTGCTCCCAGCATCCCCCTCCCCTGCTCCCAGCGTCCCCCTCCTCTGCTCCCAGCATCCCCCTCCCCTGCTCCCAGCCTCCCCCTTCCCTGCTCCCAGCATCCCCCTCCCCTGCTCCCTGCATCACCCTTCCCCTGCTCCCAGCATCCCCCTCCCCTGCTCCCAGCGTCCCCCTCCTCTGCTCCCAGCATCTCCCTCCCCTGCTCCCAGCGTTCCCCTCCCCTGCTCCCAGCATCCCCCTCCTCTGCTCCCAGCATCCGCCTCCCCTGCTCCCAGCATCCCCCTCCCCTGCTCCCAGCGTCCCCCTCCTCTGCTCCCAGCGTCCCCCTCCTCTGCTCCCAGCGTTCCCCTCCCCTGCTCCCAGCATCCCCCTCCTCTGCTCCCAGCGTCCCCCTCCCCTGCTCCCAGCATCCGCCTCCTCTGCTCCCAGCGTCCCCCTCCCCTGCTCCCAGCGTCCCCCTCCTCTGCTCCCAGCATCCCCCTCCTCTGCTCCCAGCGTTCCCCTCCCCTGCTCCCAGCATCCCCCTCCTCTGCTCCCAGCGTTCCCCTCCCCTGCTCCCAGCATCCCCCTCCTCTGCTCCCAGCGTTCCCCTCCCCTGCTCCCAGCATCCCCCTCCCCTGCTCCCAGCATCCCCTCCCCTGCTCCCAGCATCCCCCTCCCCTGCTCCCAGCGTTCCCCTCCCCTGCTCCCAGCATCCCCCTCCTCTGCTCCCAGCGTCCCCCTCCCCTGCTCCCAGCATCCGCCTCCCCTGCTCCCAGCATCCCCCTCCCCTGCTCCCAGCATCCCCTCCCCTGCTCCCAGCATCTGCCTCCCCTGCTCCCAGCATCCCCTCCCCTGCTCCCAGCATCCCCCTCCCCTGCTCCCTGCATCACCTTTCCCCTGCTCCCAGCATCCCCCTCCTCTGCTCCCAGCATCCGCCTCCCCTGCTCCCAGCATCCCCCTCCCCTGCTCCCTGCATCACCCTTCCCCTGCTCCCAGCATCCCCCTCCCCTGCTCCCAGCGTCCCCCTCCTCTGCTCCCAGCATCCCCCTCCCCTGCTCCCAGCGTTCCCCTCCCCTGCTCCCAGCATCCCCCTCCTCTGCTCCCAGCGTCCCCCTCCCCTGCTCCCAGCATCCGCCTCCCCTGCTCCCAGCATCCCCCTCCCCTGCTCCCAGCATCCCCCTCCCCTGCTCCCTGCATCCCCCTCCCCTGCTCCCAGCATCCCCTCCCCTGCTCCCAGCGTCCCCCTCCCCTGCTCCCAGCATCCCCCTTCCCCTGCTCCCAGCATCCCTCCCACCCCGAGGGCAGCTGACACTGTCTGGGAGGAAAGAGCAAAGGGGAAGCCCCTGGCAAGACACCCATTTCTCAGAAGCTCTGGGTTGGAAGTCAGGGGGCCTGGGTTCAAGTCCAGCGTCTGCCTCTGACTCATAGCGTCACCTTTGGCCACTCACTTCCCCTCGTCTGGACCTCAGGTTCCTCATCGGAGAGTCAGGGGGTGGACCAGCTGGTCTGCAGAGCCTTCCCCATTTGACAGGCGCTGTTGAAATTGGGGCAGGTGATACCATTCCCCTTCCCAGCAACACCCCCCACAACTCTCCCAATAAGCGCCAAAGTCCAGAGACATTCCCAGCTGACAAACTCACGTTCCCATCTAGCAGACTGCGATGACTGGTCCCCTTTGTATTTCTTGAAAACAGAAAAGCTGCAGGGACGGGTGGGCAGGTGCTTTTCTTTAAGGTGCCAGTTCCAAAGGGCCCAGGCTCTGGGCTGGAAGTGAATCACCATGAGTTTGCACTTTGTATATTGTAGTCACTCATAACTTTAGCTTTTGTTTATAATAAACACTGTTGGAATGAAATTCAGATTCCTCCTGCCTCCAAGGCCCAGAAGGGCGCACCCCTCCCGCCTTCCCCGACCCTCTCCTCCCTGCTCTGACGCGCCTTCCGGTACTCGGAGCCCCTGATTCGTTCCCACCTCAGGGCCCTGGCCTCGGGGGGTTGCTTCACCATGAATAGCCCTCTTTCAGGTCACAGCTGCTTCTAGGGGAGACCCTACTTCAAGAAGCCCCTCTCCATCACACCGTCCTGGCATGTTTCGCCTAAACGGGCCCCATGGTCTGAAATGATGCTGTTCGCTCACTCGCACGCTGTCTGTCCAAAGGTGGGGATTGTTCTGTCTGTTCTGCAATTGGTCCGCAACCTTCTGCCCAGGACCTGACACTCAGTAGGGTCTCAGTACATCCTGCTGGAATGAATGAGCAAATGAAACCCGAGTCATAGAACTCATCGGCAGCGGAGTCTGCAGTCCAAAGAGCGGCATTTGGTGAGCATCTATTGAAGCTCCAATACTCTGTCCACCTGATGCAAAGAACTGACTCCTTGGAAAAGATCCTGATGCTGGGAAAGGTTGAAGGCGGGAGGAGAAGGGGATGACAGAGGGTGAGATGGTTGGATGGCATCACCGACTCAACGGACATGAGTTTGGGTAAACTCCAGGAGTTGGTGATGGACAGGGAGGCCTGGCGAGCTGCTGCCACGGGGTTGCAAAGAGCCGGACACGATTGAGCGACTGAAATGAACTAAACTGTATGCCAGTCACCACACTATTGCCTCATCCTCCCAGACGGTGGTTTTATGGTCCCCATTTTGCAGTTAAGTTCAGGAGTCCCAGGCTTCAGGGCCTTCAAAAGGACAGAGCTGGCCTTGAGCTCAGCCTGGGGCCTCCAGGGCCTGGGCTCCGTCCTCCCCACTAGTGAGAAGGCTGGGGGAGGGGAGCCAAGCCCCTCCCTGCACATGCACCCCTGTCTCAGACAGCGCCTCTGGAGGGCCTCGCTGTCCCCCCCACATGGTGGAGGCCCGGGGACCAAGCTGGGAGCCAGGTGTGTGGGCAGCCTGGCCTTACGCCAGCCGGTGCCGGGAACCGGCTTGGGGAGCAAAGAGTATGGGCCCGTCCCGGGGCTGCTGACGGGGGCCACTGGCCCCAGGTGGGCTCCCGGGGGTCCCTGGGGCTCGGCCGGCGGCAGTGGGCGCAGGGTGCTTCTGGGGGCCCACCTGCCTTCCCCTGAGGGCAGAGCTAACCTCTGGGGCTCTGAGCGGAGGGGGGCAGGTAAACAGTGGCCGACAGGCAGCCTGTAAATCCCCAGTGCAGGCCCCCCCTCAGCGCTTGCTAGCTGTGTGTCCTTGGGCAGGTCTCTTCACCTCTCTGGACTTCCATCTCTGGCGGGAGGGTGGTGCGGCTGATTCTAACGGAGACGCTGTATTTAAGGTCTGCTCGGGCAGCTGAGGGGTTGAAGGACAGGCTCCCGCTCAGGTGGAGGAAGCCCCCCCAGTCCACCTCCCACCCCCGGAGGAGGGGTCTGCCCAGCCGGACCTGGAACAGGGAGTGGGAGTTTGGCGCAGAGAAGTGGAGAGAAGGGTGCTCCAGGCAGAAGGCACAGCCTGGGCAGACAGCGGGCATTCTTCCCCGGGGAGCCTCCTTCCTCGCTCAGGTCTCAGCTCAAATGCTGCCTCCTCAGAGGGGCCTCCTGCTGCCTCCAAGGGAGGGAGCCTGCCATCAAAGCAGCTTCCTTTCCTCCTCGCGCTTAGGGCCGTCTCCCGAGTGAGTTTATTGCTCGTCTGCCCTGCCAGCTTCCCCGGGGCAGGGACGCGTCCGTCCTGCTCGCTGCTCTGCCCCAGGGTCCAGCACAGACATTGGCGGGCGCCAGGCCCCTGCTCCGTGCCTCACTCTCCTCGCCCATGAAACGAGCGCCGTGACAACACACCCCTTCCTGGGGTGTTGTAAGAACTCACTAGTCCGCATTTGTGGAGCCCTTAGAAAATCCTGGCCCCCAGTAGGTGCTCTGCATAAGTGTATAAATAGAAACTTAACACAATCATAGATGTGTGGATTAGAAAGTCAAAATATTGCAGATCACCAACCTGTATAACCTAATATGCTGCAGTTTATGTTTACATTCAGTCTCTATTTTACCTTTTGCCAGCTTTTTTATTTTGACAGATTTTAAATGCATAGAAAATAAATAAATAAAAAGAAAACACGGGGCCATGAAAGCCTACCATCTCACCAGTCAATTGACATGGCTCAGAAGGTAATGAATCCACCTACGATGTGAGAGACCTGGGTTTGATCCCTGGCTTCGGAAGATCCCCTGGAGGAGGGGATGGCAACCCACTCCAGAATTCTTGCCCGGAGAATCCCAAGGACAGGCTCCTCCTCCCAGAGGAGCCTGGCAGGCTACAGTCCATGGGGTCACAAAGAGTCGGGCACAACTGAGTGGCTAATACTTTCAACACTGACTTTTAGCCTCATGTGCTTCCTTCTCACTAGATAGAACGAGAAAGATGGATATTTATACTTTTATTTTCTTGTCTTATTCTTCCTTTCTGACCCATACGGGAGCCAGTTGAAGACATGAAGATAATTTATCCCTAAATTCTTCAGCTGTTGCAATTTTTTTTTTAAATCTCTTGCTCAAAGAATGTATGAATTCTCTGGAACCAATTGTAACTAATTCTCTTACATATCTGTAATTCTACAAACCTGCGAACATGTGAATCCTTGAACCTGGGAACATTTGGTTCTAGAAACCGTCATCTGCTGCTCCTCAGAGTCCACGCATGCTTGAGGCTCTCTACCTCTTGCTCCCCTGGGATTCCCGGAGCCCTGCCACTGTGGTCCAGGAAATCTGCAAGGCGTCTGATGCCTCTGAAGCCAGATTCCCACTTCCCAGAAGCCAATAGCCGGGACTGAGCAAGGGGAAAACCCAGCTAGCCCCAACACGATGCCAAGCCCCAGGGATGCCAAGTGGCACAAGGGCCTGGGTCACAAGCCCAGGGGTGAGACCCCGGCCTGGCCACACCCGCTAGCCCAGCAGGGCCTCCCCAGGGTGCTCAGGCCTCCTCCAGCCAGCCTGGTAAGGGGCAGATGGGCGGCCCCCACCCCCGCCCTGCTCATGGAGCAATCTTCTGAGTCACCCCCACCCCATGACTGGCCTGCCCGCCACCACGGAGGCCTGTAATTAGCCTCCTCCGAGGCTGGGTCTTATCAGCCCATCGGGGCAGGCCAGGGAGGGGACGCCCCAGAGGTCCCTGCAGACGCAGCTTGTCCTGGGGCTTGGTGGCACGCAATCCAGGTGTCAGCCAGTCCCAGGTCCAGAGGCTCACTTCAGGCTCCCAGCTATCCCCCCGTCTGTTCCCCAAAACTTGGCCTCAAGTTCCACCATTCAAGCCATGTTCCTGCAAAATGTAAATTGATCACTCGCGTGTCAGAGTGATTTTGCCAAACCCCAGCTAGAGACCCATCGTTGTTAAGCACCTGAGGGGTCAAGGAAGACCCAGCGGAGAGCCACCTGTGGTCGTGACTGTCAGGCAGCCCTTGCAGGGGGTGCTGGAGAAGAGAGGAAAGAAAAGATGCCCCCTTACCTCCTCCCCTGGTTGGAGGTCCTAACCCTGCTGCCCATTCTACAGATGAGGAGACTGAGGTCCAGAGACACTCCAGACCAACTCCCATCTCCCAGGGTGTGCTGACTTTGGGGGAGTGGATGGGGCCTCTTCCAGGGAAGGGGGATCCCTCTACTCCCGGCAGAGAGGGAAGTGAGAGCAGTCAGGCTGCGACCCAACACCCTAAGTTCAAATCCACTTAAACCCTTGTGCCTCAGTTTCTTCAATGGCGTCAACTGCAGATAAAAGCACCATCCTCCTCATGTGACGCTGTGAGAATTAAATCTGGCACAGACTGAGGCGCCTCCTGAAGACCCAGAGTGGGCTTTTTCCTGCCTCGTCTTGATACTGGCTGACTCCCCTAACTTGGGTTGATGGGAGGCAGGGAGGCCACTGTGTGCCTCAACCCGGGCAGGCTAACTCTGTGTCTCCCATCACCTCGCCTCCCACACACAGGCCCCCGGGAAGCTGCAGCCGATTCCCAGGCTTCCCCCACTCCGGGATGGGGGTCCCTAGAACTGGCACCCCCAGCCCCACAGCTGTGCAGACACACACAGACACATCTCCAGGCCTGCAACAGGGCAGGTGGCTTTGTGATTATTAATAATTTCCTCCCTCCATCCCTCCCCCAGACCTGCTAAACCAGTCTCCCCACAGGCAGCAGAGCTGGCCTGACATTTGAACCAACTATTATTCTCTCACTTGTGGGAGAAGCCAGAGGGAACATGGGCGCTGTGTCCTGAATCCTGGGGTGGGGGCACCCAGGCCATCCGTAGGTCCACCCCCCCACATCCCGAGGTCCTGGGAACAGCATTCAAGCTACCCAGGGAAAGGGGTTCATTGACCCTGAAGACCAGGTAAGATAGAGAAATTAAGCCCCTGGCAAGGGGCAGACTGGAAAACCCTCTTAAACGGGGCCAGGAATGTGGCGTGGTTAAGAGTCAAACGCACAGTCTGGATTCACATCTTGGCTCTGCCTTTGACTCGCTGTGTGGCCAGAGACAAGTCACTTGCACTCTCTGATCCTCTGTTTTCTCCTTTGTAAAATGGGGTGCTGAATCCCCACATTGCAGGGTCAGTGAAATTTACAAAGCCCCAGGCCCAGTGCCCACCTGGTTGCCTGGGGCCAGGGTCTGCTCACTGTCTTTCTTCCTGGGAGCCCAGGGAGGCTGCACCCAACTGTGGCCCCTGAGACAGAGTCCTGAGGTTTTGGCCACTAAGACCTTGAGGTCTAGGCCCATCTCCAGCCATCTCTAAACTCCACCAGTGGGAACAGGCCAGGATACGTGTCCCCCCGACAACTCCCTTGCTCCATAATTAGCGTTCGTGGCTTCTTCCTGATAGTTAGGCAGCGCCTGCAGAACCCAGCACACAGGGCCAGACCCAGCAGGGCCCTGGGCTGCCCACGGCACCCACGCTGGCCGGAAGAGCAGAGGCAGGCTCGGCACAGAGAGTCCTGGGGCCGCGGGAAACCACTGAAGGCCTCGGAGAAGGGGCGAGACCTGAGCTGGGCGGGCCAGACGTCGAAGCTGAAAACTCAGGGCCTCCCAACGGTTCCTCTCACCCTACGGAATAGCAGAATAGCCAAGCGTGCGAGCTGCCTGGATTCAAATCCAGACTCAGTACCTGGAGCTTCATGGCCATGAGCAAGTCATGGTGCTCTGCGCCTCAGCCTCCATCAATCAGAGAGGGGTGCTGACAGCCTAGAGGTGGGGGGTTTACATGAAGCAATGACTCATGAGCACATGTCGTAGGTGATCAATAGATGGAAGCTGGTAGCTGTTTCTGCACCTGGCAAGTGTCACTCTTCACGTTGTTCCCTCTGCCTGATATGCCCATCTCCATTCGTCTCATATGAACTCCCAAGCATCCCTATGGCTCCACCTAAACATTCCCTCCTCAGAGGAGCCATCCCTGACCCCCTACACACACACACACACACACACACACACACACACACACACACACACACACACACACACACACACACAGGAAGTCCTCTCTTCTGGGCTCTCTGGTACCACCCTCGGCGCCTCCTTCAGCAGCTTGGCCACACTCCCGGCAGAATAGCTGATACTCTGGGGTTCACCATGGATCACCATCACCTGGCATGCAGGGATTGTGGGTGGAAGGAGTCCTCTCTTTCTCTCTCTCTCTCATTCACTCTCACTCTCTCTCCCTCTCTTTTTATTTCTTTTATAATTTCAAGCAAAACAGACTCAAAAAAATCCCCGCAGATGTGGGAAAAGGTTACAGTTTCCAGGCAAACTGGAAAACTTTTCTCTGACCACCTCCAGAGCAAAGGACAGCAAAGATTCCAAAAAAGTAAATTCGAGATTGAAAAGCCCTTTAATGAAATGTGTTATAGACTAGACAAAAAGTAAGAAATACAGTGTGGAAAGATAAGAAGTATAGAGTAGATCTATGTGTGCCGATCTGAAACAGGATCCAAGATAAGCTGTCAAATAAAACAAAAATAAAACGAGGGGAAGACCGAGGTATGAAAGACATTGGCTACCATTTGTGTTGGTAGGAGGGAGACAGGAAAGGACAATTGATAAATTTGTTTGTATTATATAAATTAGCTCTGGGGGGAAAAAATGGGTAAGCTGGCTGCTTCTTGGGGGAGAAAGTTGGAGACTGGGGGTCAGGAAGAACGGAGACTTATTTTTCACTCCATATTCTCTTGTACTTTCTGGAGTTTGTACCTTTTATTCACAGGAGCTATTCAAAAGTAAGCACATGAATAAAGTTTTGGGCTTTGGAAACACACACCCGCCTGATGCAGGAACATGCTTCAGCACCCCTGACAGGCTCTCCTGCCTTGAATGTTCCCAGTGATGGGGAGCTCAGTAACTCACTAGCCAGTTAATCCATCCTGGGGTGGCTTGGAAGGGTGGGGTTGGGCTCAAGGAGAGAAGGCAGAAATGTGCATCCAGGGCTGCAAATAGATGCCTCTCTCGTGTCCCTGAAGGTGGATAGAAATGTGACTTTCCGACTAGGGACCTGCTCCGAGGGCCCGTCTGTCCCGAGGCCCAGGTGGGAGGTGGGCAGGGTGGCAGGGCGTGCTCTACCATGACTCAGGCCCCACGGGTGCCCGGGGCACAGACAGCTTCCCAGGGCTCAGGGCTGTGACTCAGGGCCCAGAGCAGGGCCAGCCCAGGTGGCAGCTGGCGGGCCACCGGCACAGCCGCGCCCTTCTCAGCTTCGAACCCGGGTGCTCGGCACCCGGCTCGGCGCTGGCCTCTGGCGGAGGGTGGGATGGGGAGATGAAGGCTCTGGCACCAGGCGGCCTGGGTTTAAACCCTGCGTCAGTGTCTCCCTCTGTACAGGAGAGAGCCCCAGCGCCCTGCCTCCTCATGAGGCTGGTACAGAGATGCTCTGAATTCATCAGGTCCACGCCCTGGGCAGCCCCAGCGCAGAGCCTGCACTCAGTAAATGTCAGCCGTTACTGCTGTGGGTGCCCAGACTCTCGTGAGGGTCACTGACCCTGGAGCCTCCCAGGGAAGCCTGGGCACCCCAAGTTCACCCTGCATGGCCCGGTGAGCAGGCCCAGAGGGAGCAGGCCTCCAGGGGCACCCGGCAACACTGAGGGACTCCTAGGTCCCCGCACAGATCGTCTGTCCGAGGAGGGCAGAAGTTTCCTCTTTCATCAGCTGTGTCCCGTGCTAGGAGTGGTATCTGACACACAGTCAGGGTGGGCTTTATGGGCGTGCGACCAGGCCCCTCACATGGGGCCCCATGTTCAGACGCTCCCTTGCTGGCACCATCTTGAAATTCTTCCTTTTGAATAAGAGGCTCTGCATTTAATTTTGCACAGCCCCCCCCCACAAATTCTATAACTAGTCACATACATAATCGACACCCAGAATGGACTTCTGGACTTCCCTGATGGCTCAGAGGGTAGAGAGTCTGCCTGCAATGCAGAAGACCTGGGTTGGATCCCTGGGTTGGGAAAATCCCCTGGAGAAGGAAATGGCAACCCACTCCAGTGTTCTCACCTGGAGAATTCCATGGACAGAGGAGCCTGGTGGGCTGCAGTCCATGGAGTCGCAAAGAGTGAGACAGGACCGGGCAACCAACACAACAACACGGACTTCTGAATAAATGGACGGCCGGGTGAAAGTTGCCTGGGGCATCACTTTGTACCTTTCACCCCAAGAGTCGTGGATTCCAAGGCTCCTTTTACCAGCGGGGAAACAGACTCATGGAGGTGAAGAGACGCACCCCAAATCATCCAGAACCAGAACCCTAAAACCCTGGTGCCCGCGGCCACCTCAAGCATGGCAGGCTGGCTTCTCTGTGACAGTGAGGACAGAGCCCTGAGGATCTGGGGGGAAACTGAGGCCCGGCTCAAGGTGGGAGCTGGCCCCGCTTGGCGCAAGTGCCTGCCCGGGAGGCGGCCTGGCCGGGTGCCTGGTCAGGAGGCGGGAACCTCTGTGAATCGCTCCTCAGTCCCCGCGACCACAAGCGGGTTGGGTGAAAGGCGGCGGCTCCCCGCCCGCTTCCCCGCCAACGTGGGCCCAGACAATGGGCCTTTGTGCCCGGTGTGGGCGGGTTGTCAAGGTGCGCGGCCCTGGCCCGGAGCCCTGGCCCCAGCCTCCACGCGGGCCAGGAGGCCGGAAAATCCAGCAGACAAGGAAGAGAGGCCTCTCCCCGAGACAATCACAGCCAAGGAGATCAGGGCACAGAGCAGGTGTGCCAGGCCCCCAGGGCCACACAGCACACGAGTGTTAGAGGCCGGGCGGCAGCCTGCGATACCAGCCTCCCGGTCACGTGGCCGGAGGGTGCCTATCCTGCAGCCAGGGGCTTGCACAGCCCTGCTGCTCAAACCCACCCTCAGAGGGTTGGCAAAGCCGGGCGCCCCCTGTCTCTCACTGCCCCCACGTCCCCTTCCCAAAGGAGCTCAGCTGGAAGTGACAACCCTCCCCTGTCTCTGGGAGATCCCCCCCAGACTGCCACAGCCACAGTCCTGCTAGGAAAGCCGTGACCCCTGGGGGCTCCATCGGACCCACTCTGGAGCTCTTTCTCCTTTTGAGACCACATGCCTGGTGGGAAACCACCTGGTCAGGCCAGCACTGCCAGGAGCTCCACTTTACAAGAGAAAATAGAGGCTCTGAGAGGGGGCTGGGCTCTTCCAACGGCCCCCAGCATGCAGCAGTAATGTGTAGCTGGACTCCAAATGTTTCCACTGACCTCCAGAGAAAGATGGGGGCAAAAGATGGGAGCCTGGCCCTCCCAGCACCTACCATCTAGTGGGAAAGACAGAAGTCAACAAGAGGGACAGTGATAATACAGAGTAGCTAGCTACCAGTTATCAAGCATTCAATAAGTGCTTTACGTACAGAATCGCATTTCACTGTTGCAAAATCATGGGGAGGCGGGTATTATCCTTGTCCCCATTTTACAGATGAGGAAACTGAGAGGTTCAGAAGACACAATTACCCTAAGCCAATCAGCCAACGAACGGATCCAAACCCTGACCCTGAATATCTCTGCTCACTCAGCCCCTGCCAGGCAGGGCAAATGATGCCAAATTACAGATGAAGACGCTGAGGCTTTGGGCTGCAATGTGACATGCCCAAGGTCACACAGCCAGAAAGTGGGAGGAGGGCTTCAACCCCGGGCTTCTGGCCCCCAGAATCCAAATCTGGTTTGCTTCCTCCTCTACCTCAACCGGGTCTGTGAAACGTCCCCCAGAACCATCTGCACCTGCGGCTTCCCCTCCTCCCCTCCCACCTGATTGGATGCAGCTGCCCCTCCGCCCCCATCCCCGCTGGCCTCTCCCAACACAGAACAGATGCTTATGAAAATCCGGAAAGAGGATCCCAGTCAGGAGCAAGCTAAACGTCCACTCACGAGAGCTTGCAGGAGAGCGCTGTGGCCTGTTCGCAGGACAGATCCTACACCAAAAATAAATAGATGCACCCGAGCTGCTGTACCAACGGGGACGGATCTCGAGAACAGAACACTGAGTGGGAAAAAAAGCAAGTTGCAGAAGCAAAAGTACAAGTGACACCATCTGTTGAATCACATCCACAACCAAAACAGTACCCCAGATCTCTAAGGTGTGTGTGTGTGTCTCTGTGTGTGTGTGTATAGAAGCATAAAGATGTTGTACAACCACTTTGGGAAATTGGCAAGAGCTACAAGGACTAAATATATGTGCATCTATAACCTCACTCTTGAACATACACTAAAAGAACTGTGTTCTTATGTCTGCCAAAAGATATGCATAAGAAGGTTCATAATAGCGCTATTTGAAATGCTGGAAACCAGGGAAAAAATGTACATCTCCATGGACAGTACAGCGATTGTATGAACTGTGGTCTATTTAACCAGTGGACTACGACACAGCAGTGAAAAGGAACGAACCACTGACACAAATACAGATAGATCTCACCAGGTTGAGAGAAAGCGCCAGATACAGAAGCGCACACACAGAATGATTCCATTTGTATGAAGTTCGAGAATAGCAAAACCAAAGGCTCAGAATGGCCTGTGACTGGATCCAGGTAGTGATCCTACAGGCCATCAAATTACCCAATTAAGATTTGTGGATGGTACTGTGTATACATTATACCTCCATCAAACAAACAACAGAAGGACAAAGACATCGGTGGAATCACGAACACCACGCCAGGTCTGCAGTATCTTCTAGCAGAAATGTAACTGGGAAGGGGCAGGGGCCAGAGGTACCATCTCTACTGGGCTGTTTTCTTCTTAAGCTGAGGAGTGATGGCTGCATGAAAGCTAATTTTATTATCTTTTAAATGTTTTTCTGAATGTCTGAACTGTGTCACTGAAAAAGCAAACCAAAACCAAAAACCATTTCCAAGGCTTCTCCTGCTCCAGAAGGCACGCTGGCTCCAGGCTGAGGCCCACCCTCTTTTTGCATGCCATTCAAGGTCTCATCCTGGGCCTCAACCTGTCTTTCCAGCCTCCTCTCTCACTCCTCCCCACCAGCCAAGCTGGTCTCTGCACTCTTTCCCTAACACACCTTAAACATTCCCAGCTCCACGCCTTTCCTCCCACCTGGAATGCCCTCCCCATTCCAGTCTACTTGCTCTGTGCCAGGCATTATGCCGAGTGCTTTAAGCTATTAACTCCTGAAATCAGAGGCTGAGCCCTGCGGAGATGAGAGCCCTGCTTTCAGCCCAAAATAATCTCCATTGTCACCCCCAAAAACTATCCCGGAGATCTCAAGCACAAAGAGGGCCTGGTACGCCACAGTTTCCTGACAAATTCTCCCACACCCCGTTTCCAGAGCCCACCTCCCCAGTAGAGGAATTCTGGCCCACTACTGGATCTCACCTTCACTCATGCCTAAGGGTTGGGTCTTTATCATTCTCATTTTACACTGGGGGAAACAAAGGCTCAGAGTGGGCACGTGACTCACTCAAAACACTCCGCAAAGACTGTCTGCTTCCTGAGGTCTTTGCATCCCCTGAAAGCTTGCAATCATGGCTGGCCCCAAGCGTGTTCCTGCCTCACGACCTCTGCACGTGCTGTTCCGGCGCCTGGAATGCCTTTTTCCTAGATCTTCCTGTGCCCAGCTCCTTCTCATCTTTCTGGTTTCTGAATTCAGAGCAGCCTTTCCAGATCCCACTCCCCGCCACCAGGGCAAAGTCCATGCGCGCTAAGCTGCTTCAGTCGTGTCTGACTCTTCGTGACCCTGTAGACTGTAGCCCGCCAGGCTCCTCTGTCCAAGGAATTCTCCAGGCGAGAATACTGGAGTGGGTAGACATTCCCTTCTCCGGGGATCCTCCTGACCCAAGGATAGAACCCGTGTCTCTTACGTCTCCTGCATTGGCAGGCAGATTCTTTACCACTAGCACCACCTGGGAAGCCGGGGGCAAAGTAGTCCCACCCTTGTTTAATTCTAGTCCCATCACTTAGCATTATCTGAAATTGCTCTGGGTGTTTATTCACCCACTTCTCTTTTATCTGCCACACGCACAGCCCTAGGATATCAGTGCCACAAGGCAGGGTTTTTGTTGTCCAGTGTTGCGTACCGGGGTCTGACATAGTGGGTGCTCAGTGAAAGGGCAAGAACACCCATCACTGACTGATGGTGCCCGCCGGCATCACCCAGGAGGATGTGACAGAGAAGGGACTCCGTGACCGCGGAGGACCAGAATCTCTGCTCCTCGTCACTCGGCTCTACCCAGGGCCAAGGCCGCATATGGGCCAAGGAAGCAGGAAAGAAAGGTGACGATGCTCTGGGCCAGGCATCCTGACAGACCCCATCCCAACCACCAAGCAGGTTGAAGGACCCCACATCCCGCTGAGAACATGTATTTTTTGTTCTTGATATTTCTGAGTTTATCTAACGGTATGATTTTGCCCTTATATTGTTGTTAATTTTTAGTTTGGGGTTTCTTTGTCTTGTAGCCCCATTTCCCCAGGTTTTTAGCATTTTCATAGATGGTTATAAAGCCTGTATGGCCCCCATAGGGTAAAGATAAAAAGAGAGAAACACTAAGAAATGGGGAGAAAGAGACAGAAATGAAAGAAGGGACACAGAGGCAGAATAAAGAGAAATAGGTGGACATGGAGAGGCAGGTACAGAGAAAGAAAGACGGACAGAAGGATGACAGAGACAGATAGAGGAGAGACCAAAAAGCAGACAGAGGCAGGGCCTGATGCCCGCATCTCCTCAGTATAATGTGCACCTCGCGAACGATGACAGTATTTACTGAACACTTGCCCCATGCAAGCACGTGCTACCCACGGTGACATGAATAATCGTGTTGGATTCTCCCTCACCACGAGGAGAGTGTTATCTCAGCCCTGTTGTAAAGATGGGACGCAGAGAGGTGCCCAGCTCACGCCGGCCACACAGCCAGCAGATGGTGAAGCCAGCTTCGAGCGTCAGGTCTGCCCCAGACCGAAGGCCGAGCCCCTTCCTCCAGCAACGGGCCTTGGGGTTTCTAGATTTGTTTTCGGGCAGCTCTTCTCAAACTCAGCTGCGCCAGCCAAAGAGGGCACAAGTCCTGATTCGACAGGGCTGGGGCCCCAGACGGCGTTTCTTACAGCCTCTCAGGTGGGCCCGACTGATACTGTGCATCTCAGATCACATTTGAGCCGCACGAGTGTAGAGGCCTCTGCTAATCCGAGGATCTGATTGGCAGCCCTTGGATCCGCGTCCAGGCCGCAGGCCCTGGGGCTCCCGCGGCCCCTTTGGGTCAGTCTCCTGTGCTCAGCACTTCCTGTTGCTCTGCCTTCAGATGCCTGGGAATTCCCCATAAGCCAACTGCTGCGGCACACAGAGCCAGCGGCACAAAGATGTCCATTGTGGCATTGTTTATGGGAAAGACAAACTGGAACCACCTCAACGTCCACCCGTCGGGGACTGTTAATCACACCGGGATTCATGCAGCCATTGAAAATGGTGGCAGAGCAAAGCTGAGAACGTGCGTGACACCTGACCCACAGCTCCACTTCTAGGAATACATCCTCCAGACTTGCACATGGGCACACAGAGGTTTGCACAAGGCTCTCTGTTGCAATTTATAGTGGTGAAAGCCTACAAGTAACTTGATATCCCTGAATAAGGAACTGGT